AAAATTCGAAATATTTCAGTAAAAACGCAATAAATATTAAAAAATACATCTCTGCACTGTAGTCTTAAGATCAAATTGTAATATTCCACGCAATTTCTCATACTCAAAATACACGAAAAGTGGATATATTCAATATTGATTTTCAGCTACTTTTTGCTGGGATTGTACATACAAAGCATCCTTAATTACGTTTAATGATTATTCGACAAACTAAATAGACTATAATTTTTAATACGCAAACATTAAAAATTGTAGATTGAGTGTCTAGAGCGCGCATTTAGTCGTCCATTCGTTGTATTAATCTTTTTTATCAAAAGTTATCTATACTATAAATAACTGTGCAAAGTACGCACGAGAGAAGAATGAACGATAATAAAGCATGCTTAATAAATTACATACCGATTAAGCGAGCAACCCTCGCATTTAAACATTTATATGTGATTTATCGAGATACCGCGACATAATCGTGTTTTACGCGAATAGGAAGTAGAAACTCTCCTTGCTAGAATGATTAAGTCTCTTTAAAGATGTAATATTTTTCTTTCATGTACACACACACACACCTACACATCGAGACGAATCTTCAGTTTATACTATCGTGTTTGCCATACATATTTATACGCAAATACCTTTATACATTTTTTCAACGTCAATGTCATCATACATATTAGATATTGCAATTCTACTTTCTGTTATTTTTAAAACTTTATCAGTTTTATATATAAAGAAATATTTTATAAAAATTTCTCTTAAAAAGTATATCAAAGACTGAATAATATGCTAAAAAATACAAATTAATTAAATCTTGTACCGATAAAAATTTTAATAGTTTGTCGGTTAGATGTATTGACGTAATATGACGTGATATATGCGGTGCGATAGATTAAACGCTAATCGAGGATGTGTTCTATCACGCTGAGTAAAGAACTAAGTTTTGGATTCCTGCGCGCTGCATGAAAATTTTGTGCTCTGTACTTTTCCTACACGATATTTTTCTACTCTATATTTTTTTAACAGATATGAGAAGGCTTAATTTTGTATGCGATATTATTTTTATATTAATAAAGAGTGCCTTACGATCAAAATAATAAGATCTATAATTACGGCAATTTTTCTAAAATTTCTTATGTATATTTAATCAATAAATATCTTTATTTTTATTCTAAAATACGACGTTTATTAATATACTATTAATATCTCGGATAATTAATACACAATTTAAAATTTATATTCTATACATATTTTTTCAATTTATTTATAACATCGTTTGACTCTCTAATTATAAAAAATATTATTTATTTAATATCGTTTGATTTTCTAATTATAAACATTATTTTCACAAATATATAATTATTTTAATTGCTTATTATAGTCCGTATCGATATTTAAAAAATTGACCTCTCGTACCATACGCGAACTGATTATCGTATAATTGGAGGAGGTCAGGGCAGCCGTTTGTCTATAATCTCGGGCAAGAAATATCGGGTTCCTCTGCATTTTCTGTTACACCAGGTGACCTACTGTTCCTTTCTCAGAGGCAAGAAGAAACGCGCCGTGATTATGGCACACGAATGCATTATTTATCCATCTCCTCTCTTATCTATCTATCCTCTCTATGCGAGACTGTTTGCTCGAGCGAGATATATCTTTCTTATTCACCCATCCTCAGATATCATTTCGAAGGATTATACTTCTAGCTGCCATCGATCACGCGATTTTTCCCTTTTGCTTTAGCACGAGAAGCGAGCCGATGAATGCGTCTATCGATCACCCTGTAGAGTGATTGATCGGCGTGCGCTGGATATATTATGTGCACGATCGTATAAAAATTTGTCGAAAGCAAGATCGAGAGAATTAAGGGCAACATCATCACTTCTATGGATAATAGAAAAAGGGAAAAGTCTTGTTAGAATTACTGTTTTGTCATTCAACACAAAGAGAAAGAGAGAGCAACCGTAGTACGGTAGCTGAGCAGCAATTATAAATATGATTGTTTCTCAGTCACTTTCAGATCCCACCAAGTAATGTTCCAACATTTTAAGCCGATAATTCGATCAATCTTAATTTTCTTATTTTCTCATTTCTGAATCTCATACATTTATCATTTTAAATATTTCAAATTTTATAATAAAATATTACATTTATTATTTCATTTTCCTCCTTTCTTTAATTTCTCATTGCTTATCGTTTTAGTGCATATGAAAAATATCACGAGCTTATCGAGCTTATCTCATACATTGTATTTCCCTGTCGTTTTCTTGGTAATTTAAATCGAGTTCTCGCGATTTCAGGAAGGTATTTCTTCTTTCCCTTGATAATATAGTCGCGTGACAGTGAACCAGATTGCTTTTGGTTTTCCAGCGCGACAAATGAACCATGACATTAAAGACTCCGATCTGTCGTAATCACTGATTATCTACGACGATAAATAGTTCGCTATTTATTCCAATTCGCATGATTAAAAGTACATTATTGAATAAAGTGTACTTTTTTACGAATATATATATATATATAGAGCATATTAAAAATATTGAGTATAAAATTATGCAAATAATTAAAACAATTAGAATTATAAATTACAAGAAAATAATTTTATAATTATAATTAACTTTAAATATAATTAATTGTATTTAATAATAAATAATTATATGTATAATTATAAATATTTATTATTAAATACTCTATTAATAAATACTAATATTCTATTAATACGTATTTATTATTAAATGATAATACTCTATTTCTTTAGGTCTTTCGTCTCGCAGAGGAAAGAGATAGTATTTTCGTTTCTTAGTGTCCAAATAAATACCATCGGAGTCATCGACCCGCGTCGGCCACGACAATGTTATGCAAAATGTGGTTGAACGTAATGAGAAAGCAGCCCCTAGTGCTTGTTGATTCGATTACTTAACATTGTATAGTTACGAGAAATCTCATCGGTTCTTTTTTACTATTAAATCTTCAGTTTATACAATGCGACATAATTTTCTCGAAGAGATAAGATAAATAGCGATGACGATAATCGCATGGGATAAGTATTTTGACAAAGAAGAAAAATTGCGATAATATGTAATTAAACATATGACGTAATTAGATATATAATAAAATAATAAAAGAATAATAAAATATTTGCACATGTCAACAATTTTAATGCTTTGATAAAATAAATTAATATGTTATCGTTATTATGTTCATTTTTAATTAATGATTAATTTGAGACACGTCTCTAAATGAGACATAATTTTTTTGAAATTCATTTTTTTTATAGAAATCAATGTTTCTAAACTCGAATTGAGACAAATATTTATTCAGATTTATCAGAAACAATTTGTACATATGCCTATATTTTCAAATCTATATTTGTTCATATGGTTAATTTAATTACTAATCTCTAACTCAAAATATGAAAAATTACAGATATATCACAGATAACAAAGAGAAAGATAAAAAGTACAGATAGAGAAGTGTACAAATACGAGCAATGTTTAGAATGCTTTACAGATATTGTATTTAATACATTATGTATTGAAATGATCCTAAATAGATCATTTAATAGATCATTATATGAATTGATTATTTGAAAAATCTCTTGAAAGTTTACATTAATGTACGATTAAATCACAGACAGATTTATTCCAAAATTAAATACATATCATTCATAATATGTTGACTTTTGACGGCAACACACAATGTATTTAATATACTTGACTATAATTTATTGGTTGTTCAACATTATTTTATTGCTAGAGATAAAATCACTAGTGATTATTTCTGATGGTAGTTTCTCTCATTGAGTGATCTCTCTGATTGATGTAAAATACTTTAATAGAATAATAAAATTGTATAGTTTTTTACTGTCACTAATAATTTCCCAATTTACTTATGCAATATATATATATATATATATATATATATATATATATTTTAGTATAAACGTCAAATATAAGTATAGGAAAATCTGAAGCGCAAAATCTTCGACAAAAATTCAATTTAAAAAGAGTTTTTCAGCGGTATGTTTAGTGGAATTTCATAATATTAATAAAAATAAATAAACATCCTCAAAAAAAACTTGTATACATTAAGTAAGAAAAAAATACTAATTAAATATTCAAAGATATTAAAATTATAATTACAACATCACATTTTTTTACCAGAAATAATTTCATTAAAATAATAATTTAATTAAAAATTTAATTAAAACAGTAATTTCTCCATCTGAAATTAAAGTTTATTTGTCGATGATTAAGTCTCAATCAGATAATTTCTTGGCAACATTTTACATAATACATAGAGAGTTCATTATATTGCTATCGTACATGTGTAGTATTTCTCATCAAAAATTATAAAAAATAATTTTCTATAAAATTTTATATATAAATGATGTCATGTGCCATGCATTTTCTCTGTAATTTTTAAAGTTTTAATTAATTATATTAAAAAAAAAAAAATATATATATATATATATATATATATATATATATTATATATATATATATATATATATATATATATATTATATATATATATATATATATATATATATTACTGCACGTTTCTGCATAATAACTATTCTTTATACGTGTTAAAATTTGGTTCTCATGTCCATTTGAAATGCATTAAAGAAAAAATACTCTCTCCTTCTTTCTTTCACCTTAATTACACCGTTGTATTTTAATTTGCCGAAAGATCTTCTTTTGTTTTTAACAAAGAGAAGGAGAGAAAGAGAGAGAAAGCGTGTTAAATCTGGGTCGATGAGCAAACAGTAGATTTTGCACATACGATACCGTGAGATAATCGTCAACAATGAGTACGATGGTAAATATTTTCCGACGCGGAAGCGACATCGGGAGCGTGCGCGCGTGCGGTGTCTTGATAATAATTTGGCAGGTACGTACATTTCGCGCGGCCGTGTGCGGAAATACACGGCATCATCGTGTAACGGGAGAGTGACGGTCGACCGGCCGTTGGCACAGTGGAGGGTTTTCTACATATAGAGGTGAACGCGAGTCGCGAAACGATTCAGTCTCCTCGAAACCACTCGACAATAAAAGACAAGACGTGGATAAACAACAATAGCCGCGGCACGTTTGTTTTCTGCCGATGTGCCGATCGTTCGTGCGAATTTCTTGATGATTCATTAACGATCGGGCCTTCGAGCGAGGTCGTGTTAAAGTTTGTGTAACGTTGCAGCTGCCAACTCGTTCTCTTCGGGGTAAGAAATCTTTCTTCGTGGCATGAAAAATCGGAAATCAGTGACTTCCTCTTTCGAATATTGTAAACGAAAATTTTCCCGATTTTTGTGCGATCGATAAGAATAACATGCTGTGCTAAGTACAAAGAAATTTATTTTAAAATGCTATTTATGTATACTTCTTTTCGTCGGCTAATATTAGTCATGTTAAAACCCTTCAAGTTAAATAAACGAAAACTAGAGTCTTCTAGTACGCTTCTAAATTGCAAAGCATATCGATTAAAAAACAATGTTATTGCGTAATTTATGATAATTAATCTTGTCAAAAAATGAAAATGGATTTAATAAAATTAGCTAATTAACAGCCATCGATGTTTTTGTTCTAATTGTTTCCTTAAAACTCCCAATATTTGTAATTTAAAATTAACATGTACCGTGTACGTTATTACAGATACAATGTGACGCTGCGGAAACGCATGCAAATGGTTTAACAAATTCCATAAATTGTATAAATTAGATTATCGAAAGTGTGCATAATAGAAAAAGAGAGAAAATCATTATCAAGCAGTAAAGACATATTAAGAAATTAAGGAAAATTAGATAATGGCTACTGGTTTTTTTCTTGCCCACGTTATTAAAAAATTAATATTTCTTTTACACGTAATGCACACTTATCGATACAAAAATTACGTGAACTAGAGTATCAGGAGTACAGCGATGTATTCAACGCAGAGTCACGACAAGTCGCGATCGATCGATAAAACGCGTACTAAATCACAGATTTAATTAACAAAGTGCAATTGCCTGGCGTGAAGCGTACGATTAAATCGCTTACACGGGATGTCAAGTTCGTTTGACAGCTCGGAGAACTCAGTTTCTCATTTGTTTGTTATTTATATGTTGATATAACTCCATTATTTGATCTAACGAATTTCGACTAATTGTATAAGATATCGATATTATTATCGATTATGTCTGTTTATCGCAGATATTCTAGGTCGCAAAGTCAATCAAAGTATGTCAAGAATCGGTCTTTTCATTTTGCGAATTGTCAATTTTAACGAGCAGATTTCATCAAAAATATTATTAACATTTGTCAGCGAATTTTACCAAAAATTATTAGAATCTAAAATATTTATAAATGGCCAGTTTATATTAGTTTTATCGGAATTTATTACAATTATACGACAACTTATTACAGCAAAAGTAACAAATCATTTCAAAGTGCAGTAGGAATTGATAAGATAACGAGAAGAAAATATATCTATTGTAAACTTATTGTGCCCATTTTTCCACTACAATTTCTTCATATAAGAAAGTCATCATATAAGAATCATAAAAATAATTTGCGCAGTTTATTGTCGCAACTCAAATGAAAAACTCGTGATAATCAATTGTGATTTATACTTTCAGTGACCGTTTAATTGAATCGACATGGAGCAAAATGGTGTATCGATGATATCTTCACCGAATGATAATTCTGGAAAATCTAAGAGCATCGGTATCACCCTAAGATCTAGCAGCTTACAATCGGCTAAGGAAAAGTTGAAGGCACCCTGTGAGTATTAATTAATGGTGTAATTATAACGGAATAAAAAATGGTTTCGAAAAAGAGAGATGTACTGTTTTTAAGAGACTCATATCTCGAAAATCAAATGCAAATTAAAAATAGTTGACAAGTATATTTAATAGAAATTGATCGTTTGGGAGAATTTTCGTGCAAAAATTGTTAATTTCTTTCTATGGCTCAAATTTTTACGCACATTTCTCTTTTTTTTAAAAAACGAGTCGACTTTCAATTTTTTAAAACAAATTTCGCGTTAAATCATAATTCATTTTTGTACAGAATTATAGAGTTAATCGAAATTGGGTAATCCGATTTTATCTCGATTTTATCGTGACATAGTTTGCAGAAATTTAAAAAAATACTAAAACGCACTGAAAAATATCAACGCGAGCAAGTGAATAATGATATAATCTCTAATTTGCTAAAATGACAAATTTTCCTGTCTGTAAAACCATTTGGGACGAATTTCGTTATAATTCATAGAGATATCGCTCCATTAGAATATGAAACTTTGCAGCTATTTCCGCACGAAAATATATATCTAGATCTTTTAATTCGAGATCATCCGATCATGCAGCGATTATAAGGAACGGTATTTGTTCGTCTTAATTTTATTTTTTGGTATCTGTGATTGTCAAAATGATAGTTCTGAGAGAATTTAAGGAGAATATTGGAAAGATATAAAACTTTTATCATTTTTATTCTTTTGTTCATATGTATGAACATACACATATATATAATTTGAGATTCTGCAATGAAAGTTTCTCGGCTATTCGGGAAAAAAGGAACGTACAGAGAGAAGTCATTTCGGCAAAGTTTCATAGGAGGAATTGATCGTGTAACAAAATGGAAAGGCCTCGCGAATGTTCGTTCGTTCCTGCTTTCAAGATTGACCTTAAACTCACGGAATCGTCTGCTATCGCGAGTCGACCGACCTCCTATTCGCCAGAATATTCCTCGCGCCGGTTTTCTCGGTGAAAGAAAGAAGAAAGCGGAGGTTGCATTATACCGAGCGCATGCTAAGCGATGCTCTACGAGTATTCCCCGATCTGAAAATTGGGTCGGAAATCGGATTTGCGAGACTCCGAGGGAAATTTCTCCCTTTCTCCCCTTTGCATTCCTGAAGCACATTTCGCCGTATCAGCGGCATTCTTGATACGAGAAAATTAGGAAAATTAGATAAGTTTTCGCGCTTGGGGATAACATCATCTCAAGTCGCCCCGGCCATTTATTATGCGAACGATGTTTTCGCATCGGGGAAAAAATGTTCAATGCACGTTTCGAGCACGTGACTTCGCGAAATTGATTATACTATCTAATCTAATATGGATATCTTCCAGGATATAATTTATGGGTAAAATCCCTTTCCTCTTAGATCAATATTCTAATCATTATTACATTTTATAGATTACATTTACTTGAATTATCAAGTGCAATCTTTTTTTTCATTAAAATGCATAAGAGTTTACAGTAGTTTTAGCTATCATAGCGAGAGTTTCCGATCGGCGTCTCGCCGTTTGATCTAGAAAGCGGATTGTTTCTTTTGACGAGCGTATTTCGGTCGTTTCTCTAGGAAAAAGAAAGTGCATAATGCGATCGCATCAGGAAACACGGTTTGCTCGGACGTTTTTACGAGGCACGTACGCGAAGAGTCTAATGAAATTAGACGGTAATTATAAAGCGGGACACGCGTATGCTTAACATCGAGCTGCTTTTCTTCCCGCTCTTTTTTCCTTCGTTTTATCAGTGCGGAAAAATAATGCGATTTGAGATCTTAATTCAGGCGACTCGATCTTCTGTTTTAGCCCCTCTAGCTTGTTATAGAGCGGAGCAGAGTATCTACGTCGTGAGGTGTTAATTAATTAGAAGCATCATTTCCGTCAAACGTCCTTACAATGCGTCTCGTGAAAGTCTTAGATTCGATAAACGACTGAGAAAAAAAGGAAATGTAGGTGAGAGGAATTGATTATTCCCCAATGACTTTTTGTGGACTGTATCTCCCTGAGAAAATCTAGAGAAATGGATATCGTACGCGGAATACTGAATTATTTGTGTGCACTTTCACCCGCGATCGCGATTTATAATCGTGGATATACACGCGATAGTCTCCGGGAATTAATTTGAATTTAATATAGCACACGAAGAGTTACGCGAAGAACAAATATTAGGATTCGGGTCACGTATCATCTCATAATCTCTATCTCATTCTAGAATATTGTAAGTAATTAGAAACTTGTTCATGCCACGTTAATGTAAGTACTTTGAATACTTGTTTCGAAATTTGTTACAAGCTCACAAATATTCATTTGCATTCGTAAATTGATTGTGAAAACAAAAATCCTGAAAATATTATTAAAAAATTTCATAAATAATTTTTTTTTTTAAATCAAGATGAAATTTTGAGAGAGAGAAAAATGTGTTTTAAATAATATTTTTCAATATAATCATGTCATCATGTTTTCATGTTATCATGTTATATATTTCAATTTTATAATCATGTCATCATGTTATCATGTTATATATTACAATTTCCGTAATAAAATCGTAAACTTAGAAACACGTGACCGCCTCGTAAAAAATTTCCACTACAAATATTACGTCACTTTTATCGCTAAAAATGCACGATGCGACGCAGATTTCTGATGTAAGTCATTATACGAGATATTTATAGTATGGATACATCAATGTCAGCAGTAATTTCTCGATGTGTCGTCCCGCCAAACATTTAAAGAAGTTTAGTCTGTTGACAGATCGTTGACAGATCAAATTATGTTAATGCAAAATATTATCAATGGAATCGATGTTGCTTTTTAAATTTAGTAACAAGAACAGTACACACAAAGTGAAATATGAGATATATGGGTACAAAATTGTAAACGTTTCCAACTTTATTACAGACACAGGGAATAAATCTCGCTCGAATGAAAAATAAATAATTAACTTTCTTCTTTTTCTCGACTATTATAATCTCTTCGATATACTTTTTATTGTATTTATAACATTTTTGGCATCTTTTAATTCACGTTTATCGAAATCTAAGAAATTCGCATAATTAATGTTATCGTAATGGAGTTGTGCTCCGGTTTCTCGAGAAGACATAATTATTGCCAGATAGGGGACCCTACTGTAAATCGAACAAGTGTTCCTTTGAGAAAATTTAGTACATCGCGATATTCTCGAGTTTTAGAAAATCCAGAATTTCACTCTTTCTGGTAACGATTTATCGTGACAATCGCGTAATTTACTGATACTTCCTTCGTATCCGGTCTCACGAAGGTGCTCCGCTTCCATCACGATATGTGCAACGATATAGCAAGTAGAAACTAAAATGTCAAATGGTGGGAATGCAATCAAAGACGAGACAATAGCCTTTTGTATTGCAATATAACGCTATCTTATTATTATTTATCCGCCTATTTCTCCCGTCATAAATATTTTCGAAATGAGTTTCCAAGATATGCATTAACTCGAGAGAATAATAAATTAATATTAATATAGAAATATAAAAATTAATATAATAAAAATATATCACGTTACATAATTGATTGATATTATATGTCATTACAATTAATAAATGTTAAGATAAAAATAATTAATAAGTAACACACATAGACCAAAAGCCTTGTAAGTTAAATTTCATAAATATCGTAATGTGTCAAAGTATTAATATATAATTACAATCAATATTATAATTGTAATATTAATTGAAATATTTTTGTAGCATTTAACAATCTCGAAACTTCAAGAAATGTTCTCTCATAATTCATAACATATTCATTATATAAGCGTTTTATACACATTTTCATCGTGTTCGAAGCTTCACATTAGAGAAGGTATGTTTCATATCCCGAAGCACGGCTTCTCGTGATAAAATTTCGAGAATGAAAATTCGAAAGGGTAGGAATTCGAATAGTTCGGTAGCGAATACGTATGCAAAATTAATCTCTTTCTCGGTTGCTACTACAAATTGAGACGGCGCCGATGACGGAAGAAAGATAGTATCGATACGTCTCGCGAGTCTGGCTCGACAGTCAGCGTACTCCGGCCATTCACATCGCGAACTTGACCCACTGTCATACTTGCAGCAACGGTACGCAACGTTATACTCTTGACTGCGTATTCCGGGTACACAGAAAAAGACTACCGTGTACTTTTTCCGCTGACTCTTGCGAAATAGGGAAGTACTTTTGCAGACACGTAATGATGTAACTATAGAGATAAGATTCTCAGTGGTCAGTAAACCCGTGCATTTTATTTTATGCTATATATGCTACGCATTATAAATTATAAATTATAATCAATTACACAGTTCGAAAAAGAAGTAGATTAAGTTGTCGACGATCAAGAATTGTATGTCAATAATAAAAAAGGTATCTTTTTATCTTCCAAAATGTGCATTTTGGAATTGCATATCGATCGACTTGATTCTTGACAATAATTATTATATACGAGAAACAAATCGAAAGTTTTTTTATTTTGTTTTTATGATACATTACTTATAGACTAGATGCATTCTAACATTTTGTACCTCAAATTATGTAGATAAATAGATGAAGATAAGTCTGCATTATGAGCCTTATTTCTCCGCAAGCTTATAACATTCCTGATACGTATCTTTCATGTGCTTCATTATAACATACGGCCGACATAACGCATTCCACATATGATGATATAACCTGCACAAATATTACTGTATCACGCTAAGCAATACTTATCGTAATTGCAAGATGCAATGCTCAGTCGTAATCGTAATGTTATATATAATAGATACAAAAAATATTTCCTGAAAATATCTGAATCTATAATTTAATTATTTAGCGAATAAAATAATAAAAAAATATAATAAAAATATAATAATATAATAAAATCTAATAAAAAATATATAATAAAAAAAATCAGTTATAGATATCCATGGATATGTAAAAATATTGAGGTACGATAAAAATATATCTCATACAGATGATAAAAATATTTTTTAAATTTGGAATAAA